CTAGGAACTAATTTAATCTCATATTTTATTTTTATGACATGAAATGAAATTTGAATCTCATTTTTATATTTTGTTTGACTAACAGGATAAGATATTTAAATAATATAAAATGACTGAATTATCCTTTTTGCTTTTTCTTAACTTTGCTTTATAACTCATTTGTAAAGATATATTGTATAAATTATAAAAATAGTAAATGATGGTAGGTTGTGATAGAGATGGTGGTGACGGTGTTGGGTTGTGATTGTGGCGGCGGTGGTGATGGTAGCAATGGTGATGGTAGCGGCGATATTTGGTTGGTGGTGGAGGTGACGGGTGGTGATGATGGGTGGTGGTGGAGGTAGTGATGATGGCAGAAGTGGTGGTGGTGGCAACGGTAATACTAGAACTTGTAGTGTTACAAGACCTATAGTTTTGACATGCATATATTGGTGTTATCGGATCCAACAATGACTTAAATGTTCTTAACCAGTCTTCAATATTTAATGATATTCTAAAAGGATAAGCACACGAATTTCCGTTTGTAGTGAATGTATATCAATACAAACATGCACATCATCTTGTTAATGTGATATCTCCTGGTTATGTTATGTTTTTCAAACTATACTCATATCCACAACATGAAAATGAAAGGTATTTAAGGTGACGTAAGAATCATCATGGAAGGATGTGGAAGGGCTTTTAGAGTCATTGAAAAAAATTACACATAGTGGAACACCTAGAACGAGATTGGGATCCGGAAAAAAAAAAAAGCAAAGTAATGTAGGAAAAAAAAAAAGCAAAGTAACGTATCATATTACATAATATGGTAATAGAAGAAAGGATTAGACTATAATTTGTATCGATGCAATTCATACACTTGAACAATTTGTATCAAATAGCCCATAATAATTCTCGAAAGTTATAAAATACATAGCAATGGAATTCACATCTTCACTAACATTTGACAGATTATATATACCACATTTTGAATCTCAATGGTGTTGATAACAACAACGAAGGGCTGTTCTTTTTCAAAATTTAATCTGTACTTTTATTTTTTTCTAAATTAATAAAAATTATTCTTATTCAATCTTATATTTTTTTTTTATCTTTAACTAATTTCATTTTTATTTAAAAATAAAAATAAATAAGAGTGATATGATGATATGTAATTGTTAATACCTATCGGCAAGGCTTAAGGGAGTGAGCTCACTAGCTTGCCTCACCAAGGCTCGATAGGAGCGCACCACACCTCCCCTAACGCTCGCCAGGGAGCTCATCAGATGCATCTTGCCAGCTACAAAGAAAGAAGAGAGAGAAAGACTTTGGTGGTTGGGGATTTGACTTTTCCATTTAAACCCTTTGACCACACAAAAAAAATCATCCATTTTTTTTAAAAAATAGCCGTTTTTTATAAAATTCAAAATTTGGACATGTAACGTCCCACGTTTTCATGATAAATTTTTCATTTTTATTTTGACGTATTTCATTTAAATCAAAGTATAATTAAATTATGTGAAAGACATAATGCGAGTGTACAATCAAACCTTGCCCTTCTCACCATCCGAAGAAGTACCTGAAAACATTTGTAATCAACTGGATAAAGCTGGTCCGCCCCTTGGGCTTCAGAATGAAGTTGGTCTTCCCCTTGGCCTTCAACATAAAGTTGGTCCGTCCCTTGGCCTTCAGCATAAAGCTGGTCCACCTAAGTATATTGGCCTTCAGCACGAAGCCGGTCCGCCCTCAACTCCCCACATAATATATCAACACATATATAGCACACAAATAGACAAAAAAGTCCAACACAACATGCAACTGGTCTATTTGCCTAATAGCATACTACGGTGCAACTATATCCTAACATACAGAGGATACATACTATAGTATATACTATAATGAGAAAACTCACCTTGACAATTGCTCAAACGATTAACAACTATCTGGGTGATCCAACTGGCGAGCAACCCGCCTAATAACTATTAACCTATAATACTATAATGTATTAGCTTCTATGGCAATTTGTTAATAAAGTTAGATCTTTTATTAATCCCAATGCATACTTCAAGTTCTATTAAATAAGGAATAACCACATAAGATTATATTGGTGGCAATATTTGTTTGGTATATAGAGTATACTGTTTGGAAAATCCACTTTAAACACCTCACTAGATCTTGCTTAGACATCACTCCCGTAAGTTAATAAATCAGTATTATGACATGGAATCACCGATGAATCTTGTTTAAAGGTTCATAATAACGATAATGAACTTAAACATAAGTTACACTTAAAGCATAGTTAGTACAACTTAAATTATAGAGCTTATAGCGAAAATCGGAAAATCGTGGGTAGAATCTCGACCTGAATGCTCCTTTTCATTGGGCTCCTAGATATCTTAAAGCCCCGCTAAAGTGCTCCACAAAACTAAGGAAACCGGATTCAAATATGGCTGAAATCTAAAGAGATTTGGATTTGAAGGTGTGAGAAATGAGCAAATTTTCGGCTCTATTTATAGAAGTTCAAGGGGGCGTGCCACGCCATAAGCTTGAGGCGCGCTGCGCCTTCTTCGACATCATCCATATCTTTAGCTGGTACGTATTCGATTTCCGTTGGTCCCCATCCATTGGTGGCTACCGCCTATGGCCTTGACATGTGTCATCATGTGGTGAGGCCATATGTCGATTAGGGTGCCACGTCACCATGTCAGAGGAAGATTCCAGCCTCCTCTTCACCACGTGGTGCACTCCAGTGCCACCACGTCACCCCAACATGCATTTTTCACGAATCTTCAAACAACCATAACTTTCGTATACGAGCTCCGTTTTCGACATTCTTTATATCCACATGTAGGTAATTCCAAGAACTACAACTTTCATTTAGATCTCAACAACTAATTCTCACTCTATTTTAAATTCATATTTTATAGAGCTTACACTGTTAAAATCCATGCGATAATCATAACTCCTTCATACGAACTCCGTTCTCGGCTGTCTCTATAGGGACGAATTCGTATTTACGAGATATTCAACTCTCGTTTACATTGTTTTGACTAATAATCAACCAATCTAAATTTTGATTTCTGTGTCGCACAATGTTGTACTATGTCGCACTGAAACTTCGAAAAATCATAACTTCCTCATATGAAGTCAGATTTAGGCATTCTTTATATGCACGCTTTCGCTTTTACAATTACTACGAATCTCGTTTAGATTACTTAGGCTATTAAGCAACCTATATCCGATTCAATTTTTACGACACACTTTGTTGTATAGGGCTAAACATGAAACATTGAAATATCATAACTTTTTCATACGAAGTCAGATTGAAGCGTTCCTTATATCCACGAGACCGTTATCACAACTTCTACTTTCGGGATGATTAATTTAGCTAAAAAGTAATATATTTTACTACGGATTTTATAAACAAACGGTTATATTAAATTCTACTACAAAATGAAAACAGAGTGTTACGTAACATCTCTTCCAACCACTATAAATAAAGACTTAACCTTCACATTTCAATACATATAAATCACAACACATTGTTTGGGTGTCAAACCAACAAATAAAGAGATAAAATAATAACAAATAAACATAAATCACTACTTCAATATACTAAAGGATAATATATGACAAGCAGGGTCAGTCCATAGAGACATGAGACTCAATGTTTGACCATATTTTCACATAACATACAAACTATTATTAAAATGGGGGGATTTTGTTAACATTAAATAAAACTTCATAAAATAGATGAATTGAAAGATTAAAATGCAGAATTTAAAAGACATTTCCGATTATGATTCCTAATTTTCTATTCATGTACTATGTTATAAGGTATAATATGACTATGATTCATGTTCAATCTAGGTTGGTAATCAAGATATTAATAAGCTCTAATATCTCCAAATTGACAAAAGTATTTTACTCAAAACATGATCTTTAAGTAAAACTTCACCTAGTTGGTTCAATACATACAAGCTCTTGGATTAAATGGCTAAATGACTTTAAGTTCAAGCAATTAGTACCAAAAATGTTTAATAATCCTCATATGCTTGGGAGTGTAAAAACATCTAATATTTGATTACACTCATTTTGATTTAATTGAAACCAACCAAGTGTTTGTCACTTACTCCAAATCATAAAACATATACAAATTTCAAAATTTTAAATAATAAGAATGATATGAACCCTAATTTCATTGATCAAGTGAAAAGAATGCAAATCAAATGTTTAATGTAGAACAAATCAAATATTACTAGATAGAAACATAGAATCTAGTGCAAAAAAAATATTATATACCAATTACTTTCCTAAATTTTATAGTAGAAAACACATATTCCAAACAAAATATCCTAGAAATAAATACCACAAATAAAAATTAATTTCATCCATCCATGTCATGCAAATTGGGGTTAGGGGGGAAGATTGGTGTGCTATCCCCTTTTGTTTATTTGTTAAAATTTTTTAAGCGATGTGGATAACACTAGTTATTTTAATATTTCGGCGACTTTCCACTTTCCAGTCCGAACAGTAATATAAACTCATTAACTCAATATTATTATGGAGCGTCTCATTGACACTTTAATAATTTTGATTTCCAAAACCAAATATTGAGCATTAACTTTTTAATAAAAACCAGAAAGATGATTTTATTCTAAACTTCTATAGCTATATATTTACCTAGGATTATTAATTGATTCAGTGAGAGGCTATAATGAAAATATCGTACTTTTTTATTATTTTACACAACATAATTATAAAAGACAAATATGCAACGATATGACATGATCACCAAAAGATATTCCAACCGATCATAAAGTAAATAAATATACTTTTCATGAATTAAGTTGCGAATAAATCCACCTTAAACAGGTCAGTCGGTTTATTCGGGGTATGGTTATGGTGAGTTCAAAACTTTAAATATATTCCCGTTCAAAACTTAATACACTCACTCACATAAATGTTTTTTGATTTAATATAAAAACGACTTAATAATAAAAATATAAGAAAGATAGTTCCCTACCTGTCTACCACCTTACCATTACTACATGATATTGAACACAATAAAACCACATGTATAATCTAACATTAATTATACATCCAAAATAACAACTCAAACAGAATAAAAGTAACCCGACTCTTTGTATCACAGATAAGAATAATACGAAAACTAATCATAAAATTACAAAAATGTTCACCTCGACTGTGGCCCATTTCTGCCACCTCTACCACCTCTAAACCGCCCACCACCCCTTTGAAACCCCCTTCTTCCTCCACGATTTTGAGAACTTTCACCATTTCCGGCAACAAAAGGAGGCCTCCCACCACCATTATTTTCCATTTGAAGCCCATTAGCCACCCCAACTCCTTGCTGCTGTACTACACCATTGTTCATGGAAGACCCAGGAAACATGCCCGGAAACCCCATCGGTGGGCCCACTTGTGACTGGTTGAAATTATTCTGACCCATACCCACGGGCCATGACCCGAATGCCGGATTTGGCCCGAAACTCGGCTGAAACATTTGACCCGTAGCATTAAACTGTGGATGAAAAGGGGCCATATTCGGCAAACCAAGATTCTGGAAGGGCTGTTGCGTAAAATTCGGTTGCATAAACCCTCCGTTCGTAAAGAAACCAATGTTTTGCGGCGGAATAGACGGGAACCCGTTCGGCCAAACTCCAGGAGGTGGTCCGGTAAAGTTAGCCGCGTGTGGGCCCTGGGAAAATCCCGACGGCCCACTAGCAGAAGGTTGTCCCGGTGAAAAGACCGACGGTCCATTCACCGGAGAAGGTCCGCCTGGCGAAAAACCAGGCGGACCACCTGCCGGAGCCTGAGGCTCCGGCCGGTGGTGGTGGTCAACGATATTCCGTTGACCACCACCGCGGTTTCTTGACTTCTTATCCTTTTTCAAATTTCCGTTTTTTTGTTCGCTCGATCCCCTTTTTGCCATTTTTATCATTTTCTTGTACTCGGCTTCCTTTTCATCATCGGAAAACTCGAGTTCTTCGGATAATTCTTCATCGTTTTCACCGGAGGCATCGTAACCTTTTTTGTAAAGATTGTTGTTATTCAAAACATAATCTGCAAACTCGGGAACGAAAGATATTGAGCTGCCTAGTTGGATCCCGGTTGGGATATCCGTTTCTGAGTTGAATCGGACAATGTAATACGGGTTTTTTACGGGTCCGAATATTTCATCCACTGCTCCTAATGGTAATCTACTTTCGGTTATCCATAGAATTGAACCCTCACTTAATGGATTATGATTCTCAACGCCTTCCACTATGACTTGTGCACCCATAATCTGTAAAAACCCAAACAATTGCTCAACTTATTCAGACAGTTCATTCAGTCCAACAAAAAAGTAAATTAGATAAAAGATTGTGTATCTAATTTAAATAAGGTGAAGTTTTAGCTTTACCGATAATACAACTCCAACTGGGAGTGTCTTATGATGTGGTTGAATTGTTACAGTCACTGGAGGGACAGGAGGTAGATCCTGCAATTATAAAAAGGTATAAGAAACAAGAATAGCTCAATAAAATGATAACAAATCATCATGTTAAAAGGACTATATAATGCAGTTTTGTTTGCATGATTTATTTAAGGTGCTCTGTCTTTTGACTTGTTGGACTTAAGAAAAGACTTGATGTGGTAAGATGTATATGGGTGTTTCCTTTTGACTTAACAAAGAAAGAACAACAGAGAATGTCTCTCTAACATTTGGTAAAACTATAAAAGAATAGAACAAGATGTTGAAATTACCATATTGCCCTTGATATAAATAATACGAAACAATGAACAGTACTTTAAACCAATAAAAGTTTCAAGATAAATTGTTTAGTCATGACTTTTATTTGTGCATGTTCGTTTGATAATTCAATTTGAGTGTTTCATTGAACTTTTTTAATCAAACATAAAAGAAATCCAAAGAAACCTCTATTCAAACAAATATACCACACTGTTGAAAACAAAGCCAGTGAAAGATTTAACAACAAATTGCAAAGCTACTAACTTTTCATCAATATTTCTTCTAAATCAATTCCCTTGTAGAACCTTAATCGTCCTTTTTAAAACATAGATTAATCTTTAGGATTTCAGCTTCATTTAGAGAATATTCTAGTCGAATGTCCACTTTCTTGAATAATTAAGCACAGGAAAGCTCAAGGAAGAAAAAGCTTCAAGATTTCCTGGAAAGCGGTTGATGGATTAGCAGCTCTATTATATTGGGTGAGCTGAATGTGTCGATTTTTATACTTTGGGATTTAGATGTAAGAAAAATCAATACTTGTATGCTAGACCTAGATGTAGACAAGCAGGATGAAAGGAAATATAATGCATACATTTATCTTTCAGCATAGCAAATAACGTTGGAAAACGAATTATACAAACAGGTATCAATTACCTGAACCTCATTCCTTGAACGAATTGGCCCTTTCACAACATCACCATCTTCGTCTTCATCCTCAACATCAAAATCTCTTATCTCACCTTCTTCCATTTCCACCTCCCCTTTCACTTTCTTTACCTCTTTCACATCGTCTTCTTCATCATCACTACCATCTTCTTCTTCATCATCCTCTTCATCATCATCATCATCATCACTACTGCTACTAGAAGACGATGAAGATGATGATGAATCCTTCTCAGAATCCGAATCAGAATCCTCATCCTTTGACTCTTCCACATCATCAGCACCTTTCTCAACATTATTCTTCACTCCAATCTCATCGTCATTGGTAGTTTCCTCACTACCTGTAACCTCACTACTTGCACCCTCAATCACATCAACACCCGAAGTTAAACGAACTCGACCCATCCCTTCCTGAATCAAATCCCCCAAGTCCTCTAATTTCGCAGACTCACAAACCTCTTCTTCTTTCTCTTCCTTAATTTCCAAAGACTTGTCCAAATTGGATTTCTCTTCTGAATTCATAGCTTGAGCCACCGATGAATTTGGATGATCTTCAACCCAATCGTCAAAATTCAAGAGAGAGTCTAAGAAAGTGTCGGGATATTCTTCGAACTCTATGAAAGATTGATCAAGTGAGACGTTGGATTTCTTGAGGCCTGGTGAAACTTCCAGAGACTCCTGTTCGACTTTGATTTTGGTGTTGCTACGTGCATAACCCATCATCTATGATGAATAAATTTAGGGTTTTGAAGTTACAAGATTTCATGGCGAATTGGCGACAGGTGGGTATAAATAGTTTAGGGGTTTTAGGCGTTAGAGAGAAATGCGGGGCGTCTTAAACCCTAGCGTCGGCTAGGTTTTGGAAGAAGGAGGAGAATGATAAAGGAAATCTTTTGAATGTGGCCGAATTTCCGAAAATGTCCTCACAAGACACCATGTCACATGAAAACAAATGCAAATATTTTAGACATAATAATAATAATAAATAATAATAATAATGCAAAATTTCACGATTGGAGTTTATAAGTTTCACATTTTGAGTACAACGATAGACATCGGCACGCCACTGGTCCTTACGGTTTTAATTCATTACGTGATTGATCACCATAACCTGGTCATTTTTTGTCGTTAGAGGATGGATAATTTGGTCTTTTCAAATAGCTCATGACATTCATTTATGTAATAGGCTCCCACTTCTATTTTCTATATGTTTCTCCTTTCTTCCTTTCTTCTCCAATCCAGTCTTCTAAAAAAAGGAAAAAAATGTGAGGTTTATGTGTTGGTACTTTGACTTGGCTCGTCAGCTTCCCATTCTTTCTTTTTCTTTGGCCATCCCACCTGTAAACAGTTATGTAATTATTTATGTAATTGTACATATCAACATTTTGAGTGAATTTCCATATCAAATTATGCAAAAAGAGTATTTCAACAAACCTTCTTGTAATTTTTGGATAAGACTAAGGTTGTCGAACAATCAGATCAAAGCCACATTGTAAGAACCAAAAATTTAGAGAGATTTGACTTTTAGTCAAATATTGACCAAAAGAGCAAAACAGTCATTTATGAGAATTTTGTAAGTTTATGAAGTTGTGACTTCATAAAATTGGCCAAGATGAGTTTAAGTCACTTATATGTGATTAGATAAGTAAGTTCAAGAGAAATGCATTTAGGCCACAAGGGTAAAATAAGAAATTTTATGCTTTTGGGGCCAAATTTGTGACTTAATAGATTAAGACTCGTATTAAGTCAGTGAGAAGTGACTTAATGGGTTTTTAGAACTCATCCCCACATTCGTGTGGATATAAAGACCATAAAGAAGGGTTTAAGATGAAGAAGTTATGAGGGTTGAAAGTTGGAAGAAAAGTTGTCCCCAAAGCTGAGGGAACTACTGATGAGCAGCTACTGTGACGTGGGGAAGAGCTTGACACGGCGCGGTGATATGAACGGTGATTCAGAAGAGAGTCTCGTTGTAAGTAGAAGGCAATGTACTTTCCATCGGCGTGGTATTATGGGGTATCGCGACGTGGTGGAGAAAGTAGGTTGCTTTGTGGTAAAGGCATCGTGGTTCGGTTAGAGGTTGACCACAACCAACTTACGCACACCATGACGCGGTAATTAGAATATTATGGGGCAGTTACGAGGTCAGAACACAGGTTATAACCTGTTAAAGAGCTCAGTTCCGATCATTTTTTTGGGAATTGATTGGGGAGCTTAAAGATGTCGATTTTGATGCCAAGACATGCTAAGAGAAGATAGAGAAGGTGGTACTAGGATTATCATCCTCTCCATATTAAGGAAAAGATTTCTCCATTTGATCAAGCTTTTAGCTTTAATGGTAAATGTGTTAGTTTGGTTAGAATGGTTGAATTAATCAGCATATAGCTTGATTATAATGTTATTGAGAGTGTCTGAAAACCATGAAGACTACTTGATGATGTGTACAGTCACACCTTCGCCTTTCCTCGATCATTAGAAGTACCTAAAATAGTTAAATCAACAATTATAAGACAAAGCTTGGTGAGTTCCTGTAATACCTGTTTTCTTAACAAGCACCACCCTAAGAGATATAAATCGTTGTAAGATGAACATATGAGATAAATTTGTGAGTTGCTTTAATTTGAGAAATGTTATTTAACAAAAGATAGTTGTGGAATGTTGTAGTTCGTGTGATAAGGATTCCGTGGATATATATATATATATATATATATATAATATATATATATATATATATCTATATATATATATATATATTGTTGAAAACGGAGTTTGTATGAGAAAGTTATGGTTATTTGAAGTTGAGATAAAAGTAGGTTGCTATTCGGAGAAAGTCAACAGAAGTCTAGGCAAGGGTCAATCTTTAAACCATCACGAAATGACCAATAGATCATCACGACGTCACATATGACGAGTCACCGAGGCACGTGGCTGGAGAGTACGACACGTGGCGAAACGGGGGTTCAATTGATCATCACAACGTGACACATATATGGTCAAGACGTAGCACACCCCAGGTTATAAATATGCGAGTTTTCGTGTCGTTTGGGCGATTTTTGGCACATTCGATCGGAGATGTTGCTCGGAAATTATTCTCGGGATTTTAAACCGGAGGAGTTATACCGATGTACAGGAGATGCGGGGCTGAGTTATGAGATTGTGGAGGTATCTTTTACCTTGTTATTGTGTAATTATTATATGAGATTGTTGTCCAGAGTTGTTAGACCCGATTATATGTTACGAGTGTTCGTGATATGGTGTTATTACAAACCTATTGTAAGATTTGTAAATAAATCTTACGATGAGATAGTTAGTCGGGACTGTGAGGGTTGTAAACCCTAATTTACTAAAGTTGCCCGATGTGGCAGATTTAGTTAAAAGCTTATGGGTTAAGCCTATCGTGGTTGTATTATTGAGTGTAATGAGTTTGTGACAAATAGTCACAGAGTATACCGCGTAGTGAATTGTGACGGGTTCTGAGGAACTTAATAATAATTGGTTAGGTATTGGTGTGTGACGAGTTGGAAAGCAGAGTAGGTCAAGGACCGAAGTTTATGTGTCTGCTAGCTAACCAGGTGAGTAACACTACTCTAATATTCATTATTTGTGATAATTGTGTGTTACAATATGTGAATTATGTGTAGTGTAAATGATCGAATATCATATTGTTGATTGTGGTGTTATAGAGATATACATGTACCATAGGATGATATGTTATTCATGCAGGTGAATTATATTAGACAAAGGTGCTATTGATGTGTCACAGGTTAACACAATGTTATTCGTTGATGTGTCACAGGCTAACATTGTTGTTATCCATTGATGTGTCACAGGTTGACACAGTGTTATTCGTTGATGTATCACGATCTGGAACTGTTGTTATTCGTTGATGTGTCACGAGATGACACTATTGTTATTCTTTGATTTGGCCTCAATTTTATGAAAAATTCACATTCTCGGCCCAATTATGAACACATTTATCTTTTTGGCCCAAGATTTAATAAATTTACATTTTCAGCCCTTTTTATCGAAAATTTACATTTTTGGCTCAACTTTGCTTAAAATGACACTTAAGCCCACAAAATCCCAAAAATTTACAATTTTGGCCCAAAAGCTGTGAAAGCCCAAAATGAGGCCCATTTGAGATAATTTACACTTTTAGCCCTTTTAAAATCATAAATACCATAAAGATTCATATTTATCAAAAATAAATCGTTTTTGGTCCCTTAAAACCGTGACTTATATATAATAACCTCACTTTTGATTATTTTGTCATTTTTGGCCCTCTCATGCAACTTTCTTAATTTTAAACAACTTTGAAGTGTTTTAAACCCTTTTTTTGCATAATAAGTTGTAATAAGTGTTATGTTCTACAATCATCATCATATTTTAGCATATTTTCAAGTTTATGAAGTTTATAACACATAATAACACTTATATCATGAAAATCACACAAAATCATGCATATAAACATATATCTACACAAAACAACTTGTATTCTCCCCCAAAACATAGTAAAAACCGAAAATAGGGGAATAAACTCACATTGGTTTGATGATTTCGGTTGTGGTGAAGAAAATGGAGAGATCTCGGCCCTAGTAAGCTTTCTTGAGTAGATCTCGAACCTAAGATGGATCTAAGAGCTTGGATCACGAAATGATGTGTTAAGGAGTGAAGATTATCATAAAATGAAGTTAATCATCAAACTTAGAGAGTAGCTTACCAAATGAGTAGATTTTTGGTGGAGTATTCTTGGATTTACACTCTAGCACACATGAATTTTGGGTGATGAAGATGAGAGAATTTTAGATGGCTTTGAGAGGAGTTTTGTAATGTTGGAAGTTTGAATTAAGAGTGGCGAGTGAAGAGAGGCTTGGCCGAAAATAAGAAGGGGAAGGAGAGTGATTTGAAATGAGGTTATTACATGAAGGTTTAGAGTCCTAGAAACATGAGATTTGTTGCTTGGTTAACCTCTAAACATTAGTGAGGTGGCAACACCCTAATTATCCTATTGTTTTTTTTGTTATATACCCGAGAATGAGGGGGAAAGAAAAAAGAAAGAAGAGTTTGGGCCATGTTTGATTATATTCGAGATTATGTGGCCCAAATTGAAAGTTTTCGGCCTTATGATGATAAGGAAAGGGAGTTTATGACCCAATAAGGTTCAAGAAACCATCTACGGCCCATTAAGGCCCATGACAACAAAATGAGGCATTTTAGGCCCAATAAGGCCCATGAGAAGTCTTATGGCCCAAAATGCTATAGTTTAATGAATGTGGGTCCAATTTGGGCCCATATAAGGATTCTTAGCTCAAAGTAACCAAGTTGTGAGTTTATTGGCCCATTAGGTCCAATAAATGATTCCTGGCCCATTAAAATGTTTGAACCGGGATATTAGGGTTTCAGACCCATAGTTGAGTATATGAGATGTGTTGAATTAGGTTCTGAACTTCACTCATGAGTTTTGATTCAAATGGTTGATTTTGAATGAACATAGTACATGACATTAACTTAGATTACAAGTTATACAATAGTTGATTTACATGAAGACAGAATTTCCTAGCCAAAAATGCTAGTTGTGACATCATCCCCCCCCCCCCGGTTAGAGGGAATTTCGTCCCGAAATTCTTTTTACAGATAGAATTATGAATGAGAGAATAGGTGAGGGTACTTTAGCTTCATCTGGTCCTCGCGTTCCCATGTGAATTCCGGTCCACGCTTAGCGTTCCATCGAACCTTCACGATTGGAATGCGACTCTGTTTTGTACGCTTCACTTCCCTATCCATTATCTCAACTGGCTCTTCGATGAACACGAGATTATCGTTTAGTTCGATCTCTTCCAGAGGAACGACAAGAGTTTCATCTGATAAGCACTTTTTCAGGTTCGAGA